GGCGGGGGGGCATCGGGTGGCTGGTTCATGGCGTGCCAGGTGCAGGGTCTTCTGGCTGGGTGCTGGCAGGCTTGCACCTTGCACGGGCACCGTAGCCAGACCGTGCCCCTTTAAGGGCTCCAGGGCCGGGAGGGGGGCAGACGAGTTTCCCTGGTGGTACCCAGAGTGGCCACCAGGGCAAGCTGGGGAGGGTTAGCCTCCCACTAGTTCGAATTAAGTGGCTACACAGCCCTTAATTCGAACTACTTAATTCGAACTAGGCGTTAGTCCTCGTAGAATGAGGTTTACCTGGTTCGAATTAAGCGCTCTGCTAGTTCGAATTAAGTTCTGTTAGTTCGAATTAACTTTGTAGTGTAGACATACCCTATTTTGGAAAGGTATTATAACGTCTCTGTGAGATGAGAGCAAAGTTTGTCCTGCAAATCTGTAAATGAAGACTAAGGGTTTTAAATACAGCAGCCTGCATTTAACCTATGTCCATGTTCAGGCAGATGAATACATGGCTTGTTATCAGAAACACTGGGTGCTGAGAACTATATCCCATTGTTGCAGACACAGTAATCTTGTAACTCAAGCCAGGTACCGGGAGAAATGAATATGAATTTGGGATCTAACTCTCGTATGCTATTAATGGAATATCTAGACTAAAACTTTTGTTCACAGTGGCAGAGTCTAACATGTGTCACATCACTAGGGACAGAGTCTGGGGAGAATGGGGGTGTGGAAAAGATTAAAGCCCCTTCAGAAATGTCTCCAATTCGCCTTCTCCCCCTGCCAGGCTGCAGAACACCCATGTCTGTCTCTAGCTCAGCCCCCAGCCTTCAGAGCCAGGGACAGGAGATGGCTATGGCGGAGCTGGTTAGCGTCCAGGAGGTGGCTGTGTATTTCTCTGAGGAGGAATGGGCTTTGCTGGACCCAGGCCAGAGAGCCCTCTACAGGGATGTGATGCAAGAGAATTATGAGGCTGTGAACTGGCTGAGTAAGGATTCTTGTCCCCTTGGGTAACAAAAGCTGGGTGGGCTCTGGAGCAGCTGGGTTGGGTTTGGTTCAGGATCATACATTGTCTTTGCCCATAATGTTATGAGTACAGGCAGTTCCCGGGTTACATCAATCCGACTTATGTCGGATCCCTAGTTACGAATGGGGTGGGTGCAGGCATTGTCCGCACAGTGCGTGCGGGCTCTGGGCAGCTTCCGGCACACAGAAGCATCCCCGGGGCTCACTCACTTGGATCCTGGGATCCACCTCCTCCTCCTCGGGGAAATCCCCCTCCTCGGGCCAGCTCCTCCAGCCCCCAGGCTCCATGGGGC